AAATTTGGGGTTTTATTTTATTTTTTAGTGGGAAGCTCTTGCTCTTTTGCTTATTGGAATTAGCATAAATCAGTTGAGTTCTTCACCTAAGGGAACTACTTCAATGGGTGTTTCAATATCAATGAGTGCATATATTTGCACATTTATTTTTGTAAGTTATATATTTTTTTTATTATTTAATTAATCATAATTTTATTTATTGTTTTTGTATATGTTGAAATAAATTGAGTTTTGTATACAGGTAACTGTTCCATCTATGGCATCAGTCTTCAATGAATATGCACTCAAGAGTCAATATGACACAAGCATTTATCTTCAGGTTATTTTAATTTTTTTTTTTTTTGAAAAAAACCATCAACCTTCTAATTGTTTCCAAAAAAACCCCTCAACTTTTTATTTTTTTTTTTCGAAAAAACGTTCACGTTTACAAGTTTTTTTGAAAAAAAAAAGACTAAAAGGGCCAGATTGAAAAAAATGCAAGGTCTTTTTCAAGAAAAAAATAAAGTTAGAGATTTAATCCGGAAAAAACACAAAATATAAGGTCTTTTATGAGATTAACCATTTTGAAAAAAAGAACTGAGGGTTTTTTAGGAAAAAAATAAAAAGTTGAGGGTTTTTTTTTGGGTTCATCTCATAAAAAACCTTATATTTTGTGTTGTTTCCGGATTAAACATCAACTTTATTTTTTGCCTGAAAAAGACCTTGCATTTTTTTCATTTTTTTCAATCTGGCCCTTTTACTTATTTTTTTCCAAAAAAATTTGTAAAATGTGAGGGTTTTTTCGAGAAAAACTAAAAAAGTTGAGGGTTTATTTGGAAGCAGTTAGAATGTTGAGGGTTTTTTCTAAAAAAAAAAATACAAAGTTGAGGGTTTTTTCGGAAAAAAATGAAAAAATATAAAGTCTTTTTTCAGGCAAAAAATAAAGTTGAGGTTTAATCCGAAAAAAACACAAAATTTAAGGTTTTTTATGAGATTAACCCTTTTTTTCAGAAAAAATAAAAAAATGCAAGGTTTTTTTTTTTTTTTTTTTTTTTTTTTTCAGGAAAAAATTAAAGTTGAGGCTTTAATATATCTTTCTCAAAATTAATATAACGAATTTGTAAATATTTGTCTGATTGCAGAATCTGTTCTTATATGGATATGGTGCAATATTCAACTTCCTAGGGATCCTTGGAACTGTTGTAATCAAAGGTAAAAGTAAAATGACTATTCTACCCTTATGCAACTATTAGTAGTTTAGTACTGATTTTAATTTATGTTTGTAATAATGAATTTTCAGGTCCTGAAAGCTTTGATATTCTTCAAGGACATTCAAAAGCCACCATGTTTTTGATAATAAACAATGCAGCACAAGGGGTATTATCGTCTTTTTTCTTCAAATATGCCGGTAACGTTATTAACTTATTATATAATTTATAACAATCTTCATAAATTATTTCTTTCCACACAATTTTATTTATTTCTATTTATGGAAATGCAGATACAATTTTGAAAAAATATTCCTCAACAGTTGCCACGATCTTCACAGGCTTTGCATCCGCAGCTTTATTTGGACACACGCTTACTATAAATTTTATTCTAGGAATTTCCATTGTTTTTATATCAATGCATCAGGTATATTTATATTTATATAAATAAATATAAATATAAATATAAATAAATGGGTCCCACAAAATGAAATTGTTAATAAGCTTTATGCATTTGTAATATTTTCATCCGTTTTTTTTTTAGTTCTTTTCACCTCTTTCTAAAGTCAAAGAGGAAGAAGATGGAGTTTTGAAGTTGGAATCATTTAAGAAGAATGAGAGGTATAAATAATTAAAATTATCACATAAGCAATAATTAAAATGTTTAATTATCAATTAAATATCTGAAATGTTGATTTTTTTTTGTGTGATTTCGATTTTTGTTTGATAAAAAATCATTTTAAGTTAGTATTCCTCAACTTATGAAATTTATTTTGGAAGCAAACACGATATAACAAAAAAAAAGTTAAAAAGTTAACAATTACACGATATGTTAATATGTTCAAATAAAAACTAATTTGAAAATAAAATATTGTAATAAGAAGAAACAAAAGTACAATTTTGCTATTTATTGAATTTACTTAAAGAAATAATTTTAACAGGTCAAGGGATTCGTCTTTTATTAATATCGCAGCAGGGGCTAACGATGAGGTAAAAGGTGTTGGGTGTTTTCTTTGTTTGATTCGAATGCTTTTATAAAAATTAAAAAATCAGCTATTTTTTTTTTTACAATTTATTATTTTTTGTGGGAATTTAATTATTTTCAGGTTCTTCATCGAGTTGGATCTGATGAAAGACAGCAACTTCTCCCTACTTGAATTCTTAAAAAAGTATGTTGCTCAAGTTACAAAGTATTTTGTTTAAATGCATTGATAATTTGATATATAAATAATTTATTATGTTTGTGTATTTGGAATATAAATTGTTTTGTAGGTTTCTTGTTCAAAGTATTTTTGTGGTGAGGAAGAAAAGATATATGAAGAATGTAATGAATGATGAAAATTGAAATCCCATTTATTGTACCTTTTCATGGGATGTGATTAGAAACTTGGTTTATAGAGGTAAAATACAATAGTTTTCGATTGAGAAAGAGTAAAATATCGGCTTTGTTTTGAGAAAAATGTTTTGGCAACATGTTTGTCATATTTATGAGTGTAAATTTTTTTTTTTTTTTTTTAATGTTAATAGTTAATAGGGATAAGGTCATGATTAGTTTCTAAAATTTTGAAATTGTGTTCATTTTGTCAATTTTTGTTTATTTATTATTTTTTTTGGAACGGCTGAATTATATTAAACTAGCAAGAAGCTAGAAAAAACAATTACTCCCTCCGTCCCAAAATTATTGTCTACAGACAAAAAACACATAGATTAAGAAAAGCAATCATTAGTTTTGTCTTTTTGAGTAAAATGACCCTCTTGCCCTTTTCTAAAACCAATGGGAAATGTGCGTTTGTAATTATTCAAGTTTACTTTATTAAAGGTTAGGGGTAATATGGTAAAAGTGTAATCTACTTTTGGTAGTGAATAATAATTTTGGGACAAACTAAAATAGTAAGGTGGACAATAATTTTGGACGGAGGGAGTATATGATAATAGAAGAAGGATTATGAAGATAAGGAGTCTAATTTAACTTAGCTTTGTTACATCTATTAGAAATTTAAGAGAAAACCTTATCAACTACATCATAAAAAACAAGACCTTTTTTGGGATAATCGTTAAAAAAATGACTACATTCATAAAATTCCAAATGCACCAAAACGTTATCAGAACAACTGCATAAAAAATCTTACGCTGACCTCCCCTCAACGTGACTGCACTAGACCAAGAGAGAAGAAAATGCACTAAAATCTACAGACGCAAGCCCCAACAAATAGTAATACAACTCAAAATACCAATCGAAACAGAACATCCTATGCATTAAAATCTAATAGTCTTCATTGAACAAGAACAAACTAGACACATTATCAACTCCATCAAAATACCTCTCTCTCTCTCTCTCATGCGAATACTCTGAAGCTGCACCGTCCAAATTAGAATATTGAGTTTAATAGGAACCTAATTATTCCATTTGGTTACCATATCACCCGAAGTAATCAGTCCACCATCGAAAAAATAATGAGTCGAAGAGGCTTAAAATATATCTTGATATTAATATCAAGAGACCACTCTAGTCTATCTGGGACGATATCAAGTTGGACATCCTGCATCGGTGAAAATGACCCACCGAGTCTGCTCAATGCCCCCTCTAGGCAATCGTCTAAAATTGCTCATATGGCAACTAAGAGAAATATGGTCTTTGACGGTAAAAGTACGATGATTATCCAACGCACACAACCTGTGGAAAAAAAACACCAAGAGAAAGATCTCCCAACCAAACATTATGCCAAAAGGAAGTATAAGCCCCATCATTTGGTCAATTAATTTTTTTAACTTTTAAAAGGTTATTTAACTTTTTAAATTATGCCAAAATGGTCATTATGACCAACAACATGTTTTCATAATTTCTTTTTAGCTATTTAAGGTTATATGCTTTTTCTTTGGTTATAACTAATCACCAAACTTTTAAAAAATATATTTATTTATTTTTATATGTTTTATTTTTCACAATTTGTTTTTATAATTTATTTTTACATGTTTTTTCACAGTTCGTTTCTATAACTTCATTTTTACTTCTTTTTACATGTTTTTTTCCCACTTCACTTTTACAATTTCGGTTTTATTGCATTTTTCATGTTTTTCTCAGGATTTATTTTTATAAGTTTCATTTTATTTCATTTTCATGTTTTTTAGGATCCGTTTTTACGACTTTATTTTTTCTTTTGTTTTATATGTTTTTCATAATATGTTTGGATAACTTCATATATTTATATTTTATATGTTTTTTAAATAATTCGTTTTCAGACATTCATATTTTTACTTCTTTTTACATGTTTTTACAATCTATTTTTTTTCACAATCCATTTTATAACTTCAGTTTTACAAAACAAAAATAATGAAGATGTCAAAATGAATTGCAAAAATAATTAAAAAACAAAATAAAAAATAAAGTAAAATTGTTAAAATAAATTGTTGAAAAACATATAAAGTCTGAAAGAAAAAAAAAGTTATAAAATGGACTTGTGATTTTGATGCTGATCTCATTCATTATCTTTTATGTATCCCCCAACTTTACACACCGTTCACGAGTTTAACTCAACGAGAGAAAAGAAAAGGAATGAGTTGAAGTGAGAAGAAAGAAAATAAATTGGTGTTCACGAGTTTTATTAAAGGAAGAAAGCGGAAGGAAATAAAATGATCACTTTCTCTCATAATTTTTCTTCCGATTTGGAGAGAAAGAACAAAATATTTAGGGTGCGTTTGGTTGTGGAAAACTATTTTCATTTCCCAAGAAAATGTTTTCAGAAAATGGAGTTGAGTTTTCATTTTTAATTTTCAATTAAAATTTTAGAAAACACGTTTGGTTGGAACTAGAGGTGTTTTTGTTTTCCATATTAGAAATTTAGAAAACTTTGGAAAATTGTAAAAATCACTTTTCTAATTTACATACATTTTTTTGGAAAAATTTGGAAAATTGAATAAACCAAACGCGTTTTTAAAATTTTCATTTTCATTTGAAAGTTGTCATGGAAAACTGGAAAATTTTCCACAACTAAACGTACTCTTAATTTTCCTTCTACTTCTCTCAAACTCGGGAACACAAAAGACAAATTTGTTTTCCTTTCATTTCTCTTCATTTCTCTCCTTATTGTCTTTTCTTTTCTTTTCTTTTCTTTGCTACAACTCGGGAACGGAGTGTTAAGGATTCTATATATCTCATTTTTTATGTTTTTTTTTTTCTTTCTTTTTTGCTTTGTCTTGCTATTAAGCAATAGTCTCTCCATTATATCAAGAAAAAAATAGTATTACATAATATAAAAGGGTTATCTAATTCTGATCATGGTATTATATAAAAGATCAAAAACATTTTCATAAAAGATCAACTCAGTAAATTGTTTTAAACATCATCAAACCATATTTTCAGACGTATCAATTTATCATAAAACAACATGTTTCTATGATAAAATTTGTAGCGATGTGTGTGTAGTATAGTCAAACTGGAGCCTTCCTACGATTTGAGGAACTACCTGAAAAACATTTAATCACACAAGTGTAAGCACAAAGATTAGTGAGTTCCCTAAAATACTACATACTACAATACACATACAAAGCATACAAATAAAGGTTCCCGACTCTAGTGCCAATCCACATGACCAATGACGACTAACAGATCTGAAGCATGTTTAGTCGTGAACAGCGACTAACAACTATGATGGATGTCTAGTAATCAACAATGAGTATTATAGGCTCATAGTTCTAATGTTGTTCCACCATCAACCCCTCAACATAATATATCAACATACAATCAAACATTCAACATGCAAAAGACTATACTAGCCTAGTTGCATAATCAACATACTACAGTACAACTACATCCTATCATGCGAAGGATATATTGTCACACCCCCAAACCAAGGATGGCGGAAACGTCCGGGGGTGGAGGACTTCATGTATAGTATCACAACAACGAGTATAATAGTGCTCAAAGTAAATACAACCATCATAAATATAATTGAAAAGGTTACACCATAGTATATGTTTACATGTTTCAAAATCAATTACATTATGATGACAAAATGAACTGTTTGACGATTTAACGTCCTATCCTCAAAATGTTGTTGGTATCCTGTTTCACTGATTTCCTGAGAATACAAGTAGTTTTGAAAAGTGTCAACAATTAAGTTGGTGAGTTCA